GTATTCGACACACGCTACTAAATGAGTATTTGTCTTTTTTAACAGTGAAATAAACAATATTCTGAAAAACTGATTGTGCCATTCGATAGAGCTCATCGAGTTCTATCTGGCACACTTATTTCTAGAGGTGGCACAGCTTTAATAAAAAATGTTAGGTCAAAATAGAAATCTGCTGCTAACTTCCCTTACGTAAATTTAGTGAAGAAATATAGAATATTTATATTATTATTTCCTCACTGGTCTCTCTGTATATAGTCAGAGATGGACTCGTCTATGACTGGACTTGTAGTCCTAGTCTGGCTGGCTGAGATCACTCCTCTACATGAAAATATCAGATAAACAATATTCGTGAGTATTTTGTCAAAAGTTATATGAGTACTCAGCAATACCCGAGCATGAGTACTCAAAGCCGTACCCACAGTACTCGTTACTCACTCATGAGTACTCAATGAGTAAAAAAATGTGTGAGTACTCATGAGTACTCGGGACATTTTTCAGCAGAGTACGACTTTGAGTACTCATACTTGAGTACATTCACTAGGGAAGCACTTGAATCACTAAATTTTTTGAATATAAGATTAATAGAAAACTTTTCTGGTCTTAGTTGTAAGAAAATATATGACAATTAACGCTAGAAGAAATATCTGCCAAATAAAATTTCAAAGGGCAAAACCCTACAAAAAAAAAATAAAAAACGCAAAACACCAAAATAAAATGGCAAATGCCCAATTTCACCCCCCCCCCCCCCCTGGATACGCCGCTGATAGCGAAGGTACTTGCGCTCAAGTACTTCGCTTGCATAATGAAGGCGATACTTGCCTTTTTTCAGAGGTGAATGAACTTATAAGTACTTGTCCAAGCACTTAGCTGGCTCAGTGCAAGTAAATTTACTTGAAAAAAGCCAAGTACTGGTTCCATTTATCGTTATTTTGTACGTATTCTGCAGCCATTCTCTACTCTACTAGAACAGACCCGTGCATGGCTACCAAGTTTGATTGAGTAGAAATATCTACATTTATTTTCTAAGTTACTGATTAATATTCTGACATTTTGTGCCATTTACATACAACTGGTCAGTGCAAAACAAAAGAGTGATTGACTCGTCCAAGTACTTGGCTGAAGCGAATCAACTAACAATACTTGATGAGCACTTGGACAAGAAGTTGGAAAGTAAAAACACCTGTTGTTCAGGTACTTCCCAAGTACTCAGAAAGTAATTAAGTACATTAGCTAGAAGCTTGAGAGCACTAGAATGAATATTATTACCGAACCTTGATGCATCAAAACGTGCTCCAAAAAATTTTAAAAAAGCCGAGGGTATAAAGCTGAGCAGTATTTTCTCTATAGTTTTCCCTGGTGGTACTTCTTGTAACCAAGTACCTGACTCAAGATCTTGGTAAGAAAACTTACGAAATTCAAGATATTCCAAGAACTCAAGACCTTGAACATCCTGATAATTCTTGATGCATTCACTGTTTTGTTTCACACTTTTTCTTACATATAACTGCTAAAATTTGCATACTTAAAATAGGTCCGAAATTTTTTCCCTTCTTAAACACAGCTGTTCAACGATGAGCCTATAATCACATATGATTATATGATGATGGCTGTCATATAAGAAAGAAAGTGTAAAAAATTTTTTTTATATTTTGCCCTAAAACTCTCTTTAACCCTTTCCCAAGGATCGCGTAGTAGAACGTACCTGAAATTAGTTTTTTTGTAAGGCGCTACGCATTTTTGCCCATTTGTTAAAATAAATCTACTGATTTCTAAGATTGTGTACCTAATTTTTATCCGTGGGAAAGGGTTAAATTTAACACTTCGTTTTTCCTTCTGATGAAAGAAAGCCGTAAAAGTCTTCATAAAACCTTGGTGTTGTAGCATCAAGAAAATGGGAGATATGTTCAAAACAAAAGTATTCTATTTTATCTGCGCCACCCGACACTTTATTATATTTCATTTTTTATCTGAAAATATAGCAAATAGAATCTACATCATTGTTTTTCTTGTTGTATTAGCTTGATATAGTAAAATATAACAAAAATAATTTTAATCTAAAATAAAAAGTGTGCTCGTGTGCTCGTTCTCTTGTGCAATAATTATTTATTATTCATATTGTTCAGATCTTTTTGAACTTTTATTCATTTCCATTTTCAGAGTGTCTATGGCGTTTTCCACTTTTTGGTTTTTTCAATTTTTTCAGTAATGTTTTGGCTACTTTCTCTTTTGGTGGTTCTAAAACAATTATTCAGATCAAAATGCTCAGATTAAAATAAAAAGTTAGAAAATCTTTCATACAATATTAAAACAGTACACATACGTCGTTTTCGATATTTTCGTTTTAATTTTAATGTTGGTATTTTTAATTCGATTATAGCTGAGGATAGTTTAGATATTGTTTTTATTTCATCACATGATGAGGATGGACATACCGATTGTTCTGAGTTCTGTACAACAAAAAATATATATTAATTAATGGAATTCAGTATCGTCGAAGGGACACATACATTTTCGTGTCCACGTTTTTTTGCTATACCAGCGAAATATTGTTCAATCTAACCGCAAAACAAAACAATTTAGAAAAACAGTGAAATATGAAAAATATTCTCCGACGTACACGACTGTAATCAATTGTTTGTAAATAAAATGGTATCGGTGTTGATGTCCAAGAAACTGTATTTTCCAAATTATCTAATACAGTTACTAAAACATTCAAAAAACAATGCACGCTAATTGAAAGATGAAAAATGTTTAATAATGTAAGTCAAACGAATCTGGTATTGGTATAAACAAATTGTAACTCACACGTCATCACGGAATCGACATCTAAAAATAATTTCCAATGAAACTTTTAGTTTAAGAAGTATTTACGTATGAATCATCTACCGTTTACATTTCTTGCTGTCACCCTAAAATTTGGTTCACAAAATGGTTTTGATGATATAATTCGCGATCCCGCTTGTAAATCATAAAAACACATTTTCAAACGATGATGATGATCATTATTGAAAGATAAATTATTAACAAATATTGCACTTCAAAAAACATCATTTCTGTTGTCACTCAACTGTAAACAGTTTCACTCCTTACTTTCCACTCTTCAAAATTGAACGAAATTCTTCATCCAAAAAGTCGCCTTTGAATAACTATGGAAATAAAATACTTAGTTTTTTCATTTATAGTTTTATAAAATTTAGTTTTACCTTAAATTCACTATGTGGTTTTCCAAACCATTTCATCCATAAACGAAATTCACGTTCAAATATCTAAAATTAATTAATAATAACGTATGCGTTTTTTTTTAGTGACTGACAATCGCTTACGGAGGCATATCGACATGGCCAAGATGCTCGCTCTATCCCAATACATTTTTTACATAACACTAATGCAGCTATTTGAATAACAACATTGCCAATCCCTTGAACAACAAAAACAAACTATGTGCGAATAATTAATTTAAATTCGTTATGAACACGATCTACTATCCATTTCAAAATAGTGTCCTCCGATGCTTTTTGAATAACTTTTGAACAGAAAGAGATGAAGATCAGGAGTTTTCGTTTTTCGGTAGTAAATACAGGGGGACATCGATCTATTAAAAAGTCAAAATTTTTCAACAGGTCTACCATGGTGTA